CCTTTTTATAAATAGTAATAAAAATTAAAAAGACATTATCGTAATTAGTGAGACATGCAGCATATTTTTCATTACTAGTATGAATACATTCACGATTTACATGAATGGTTGCGCAGCAGTGCAACAGACGGAATGAAAATTGCTAAATCAAACAATACTATTTTATGTACATACATGATTTCTTTAATTTAGCAGTCATATATACATATATATGAATAATTTATTTCTTTAGACATTGGCACTTTAATTTAAAGAAATTTTAAAAGACAAGACAAGATATATAAATGATTATTTAAAGAACTTTGAATACTTAGATTGCAGAATTATTACGATTGAAATGTTTTTTGTTTGGAAATTTCAGGGATGGATAGTTTTGTATTTGTTATTAGAAATGTTTTAGTATTTTGAATGCAAGAAAAACTCTCTATTTGAATTACAACTTGAAATGAAATGGAAATAAAAGACTACAGTTTTAATGAACATTATTAATTAATTAATTAGTTTAATATTTGCGTGTCTACTATGATAATAGGGCTGAATAATTGTTAAATGAGTTTTGACTTGAGTTTTCATTTTAATGGAATTTTAAGCAAATAACTTTTGGGTCAATTGATTTAAATACTTGTTGATAATAAATGCAATTTTTGTAGAACAAAAAAAAAAAAAAAGATCAAATCATTTCCAGGAGTAGAAGGATGGTGTGAAATAGGTATTTGTATATATTGTTCGTATATTGTAAATATTTGGGAGATAAAATAATTGATTGATAGATTGTTTTTTTTTTTGGGGTTTTCTTTTAAGGGTCAGTTTTTTATTTGATTGGTTGGTTGATTGATTGATTATTGATTATAATATTAAGAGTAATAATAGTTGTAATAGTAGTAGTAGTAATAATATTTCAATAAGATAAAGGAATTCAATTAAATAATTCAAATGGTGGGTATTGGCTAAACTTTAGTTAATCTAAAGTTTAGTGTGAGTTAAAATTAAAAAATTGTTACTACAATTAAAATTTCACTACAACTTCTACAAATTGGCAATATTATTTATTAATATTTGTATAATATCCATTTTTTTAATATTATTTAATAATGATTATTTAAAATAATTAATATTTTCTTTCAATTAATTATTTTATATATTTCTTTTCATTTTTTTTTTTTTTTGGTTTTAATCTTGTTGAATTTGTTTGTTTGTATTATAAATTCAACATGGTTGCAGCCATATTCATAATAAAAAGTTAGCCTCTCCTTATACTCTTTACTTCAGCGTATATTCCTTTGGGAGTGGCTAACTAAAATATTCATCTTTTCTTTTCGTTTTTTTTGCATTTCGTACGACACTTTTTTTTCGCTTGTGCAAGATCTGTTCAAGATTTTAGACTTAGCCACTCGTTAGCCAACAGTTTATTCAAATATTGACTGTCTTTTGACTAAAAACATCCCGGTTATAGTTAAAATCAACTCTAATTGTGATCCTTTATGATTGTTTTAATGAACGAATGAAACCTTATATTGATTAAGTTGATCCTTATTTGTTTGTTCTTTGAGGTTTAATGTCAGAATTTAGTCAAGAGTGAGCCAAGATTTGGAATTTTTTTTTTTTACTTTTGTTTTTCGATTAGCATTGTTAATGAATGAATTGTTGTTATTGTTAATAAAGCCCTAAGTCAATGATTTTATTTAATTAAAATATCTTATTTAGTGGCAAAATTTTCATTATGAATTCGGCTGTTGTTTTTATTTTTTTTTTAATTAATTTATTTTTTCTTGATTTTACATGAAGCTTTTGCTAAGCCAAGACGTACACGATGTCGTCAGTTTAATGCCATTATGTCGTTAAAAGTCCATTTGATTGATATGATTTAAACAAAATAAAAATAGCGAAAGGTAATAGATGTTGATTGAATCAGTTGTCACTATCCAAGTGAAAGATGTTCTTTTAAATGCTCTCAAAGTGAACATCGTTATTCAAGACTTAAGATCAATGGGACAGACAAACAAAATTTAAAGTTATTCAACGATACGAATCCTAGGTTTAAAGAACCATTATGACTTCTAGTCTTTTGGCAATATGAGATTCCTTTTTCTGGAGAACTAAGAGCAAAGGAAAATGAAGGTATCATGCTGTAATGTCCAAGGTCATAAAGTCCACTATGACTCTTTTAATAGAGAAATGTTTTGACATATTTGATTAGGATTTCAGAAAGAGTGACTTTATTCTTCTTTTGGCATTTGGATACTCTGAAAAACATATCCTTGATATGTAGAATTTTTACTCTGGGATACCGAAATTAAGTTTTTTGATATAATGATTATTTGTAAGACATGGACTATTCTCATGAATATTGTTACACTTTATGGTGTGTAATGAAGTCCATGGACATTGGTGTGTCTTAGCTTCCATAGACATTATCACACGCCATGACAATACTCAATTTTACATTTCTTACTATACATTTTTCAAAAAGTAACATGTTTGGGGCTTTTATGAATGTTTCGGACAAATATTTTCGCAATTTGTAGAAAAAAATCTGGTCTTAAATATTGTCTTTTAATGAGAAAATCAAGAGAATGCAGTCTCTTATGGGATTAAACATCAAGTTCTCTTTAAAGAAAACATCATTTGACACTCTATTGACATCGATACTAAATGAGTTTAAATTATAAAACGAATGTGAATTTATTTATGCAAATTTAATGGTATTTATGATCGTACGATAGTAAACAAGAGCAGTATAATCGGTTATGCCGAATCATTTCACGCATCATTAACAAATTTCTTACTTTAATAAATATTCAGATAAACCCCAGCTCAAGTTTCAACATTTTCAAGATTGTAGCAAATTTAGATAAAACCTGTTTGAACCGGTTTTTTCTTTATCTCGCCCATATGTTAACTACATTTCGATCGCATTGACACTGATTTTCACAATTTCGCTTCAGACAAACTACATAATTTTTTATAAAAATTATCCGATTCAAGGAAATATACGAAGTGGATCATCTAATGCACTGAGGGTTAGTATTCCTTATTGTATCAGATATGTTTTCGGATTGTATTTATATGATTTGTGTCGAATATTGTACCGTTAAATATTTATTTTGGAACGATTTATTAGCAATAAAGACTTAGTAGAGATAAACTATTATACATACATACACAAATATGTATGAATGTTCCCAGCAAAAATAAATCGAAGTACTTCCAAAAGAATAACATTTATCACCACTTCAAAAGTAGCACGTGAATATTTTTACCTTCTATGGAAGTGATGTTTAATGACTTCCGAAGAAGCGAAAATAAATATATTTTTTCAATGCTGAAGATATATATTTTTTGTTCTTACATTTTATTAGTTAAAAACATTATTTTTGGGCTTTTGTATTAAATGTGTCTATTTCCCTATATTATTTAGGTCGAATTAATTTTATTCTATAATGCTACAATTTCACTTCCAAATAACTTCCAAAAAAGAACATAAAAATTACTTTTTGAGTATAACTTCAGAAGTAGTGAATTTGGAATCATATAAAAAGGACATCCCTCCTATGACAAGCCTGTGTTTAAATCTACACTTCTGCAGGTCTTTTTCAGAACTTCCACAGAGTAAAATCTGCTTCTTTTTCGCTTCTTTGGGAGTTCTTTGTTTGCTGGGTTTGTATGCAATAAGATATAACTTTGAGCTGAAACTTTATCAAATTCTGAAAGAAATGCCTGTAGAATAATAATTTTAAAGAGATGCCGCTAGATTTTAAAATCTTTAACATGAAATTATAAAACACTACTATTCAAAATTTTATTCCGAAAAAGAAACCTCAATGTCTTGCCTTAGCAAAAGCTTTCAACATCAAGCATTTTGACAGCCAATGAAACAACCGTAAAAGAGTATTGCCAACGTTAAGTCGTCATCAAAATAAAAACAACAAAACGAAAGTGTGGTGAAATTATGCCGTGGTGACAATTGTTGAATTTCTTTAAAGTTTACTTAAACTTTAATTAAACTACGTTTAAACTGTCCCATAAGAAACTGACCCTTAATTTGAAAGAAAATATAAGTAAGAAATTGTTTTGATTGTGACAACTGTTTTTTTTAGATTTTTTTTTGTATTATTTGATTTATTATTTTTTTTTAATTTTTTTGGTTTGGTTTGTAATGTTTTCTGAGAAACTTACCATTTTAATGTCACTAATCGTCATAATACTTCGTACAAAAAGATTGATTCTGACTATAGCGGGACCATCTGTATGTATGTAAGTTGGTATATTTTTTGATTTTGAAAAGTTTTTTTTTTAATAATTTTTGTTTGTTTTTTTTTAATTTTTTTTTTTTGTAAAACAATGTTATATACGAGTTTGTATATAATATACATAGTATTTATGTATTTTTATATACAGCAAAATATGTATATAATATAGTATGTGGTAAGTAAGTATATAGTTTAAAATATATAAATAAAGAAAGGTGATAAGTAAGTATATTAATGTTTCAATTATAACTAATTTTGATTTTAATTAATACATAAGTATTAGATAAATGATTTATAATTTAGTAATAATAATAATAATAATAATTTTATAAATAAAACTACCTAATTTTTATGTTTGACCTAAATACTAATTTTTGTTGAGTATAATTAAATGAATATGCTAATAAGCCGTTAATATAGTTTTTCTTTTTTTTTAATTTTAATAAAAACAAATTAAAAATTGTTCTTTTGTTATATTTTAAAACATTGTTTTTTTATACTTAAAATAATTTTTTGACCAATATTTACAATATTAGTTGAATTAGATTAACAAATAAATTATAATTTAAATTAAATAGAAATTATATAAAAATATTATAAAAATTAGATTTTGCGAAAGTATTTTATTTTTAATTTTTTGGATTTTCTTAGTTACTAGTTTAAAGAATAAGCTTGGAAAATAAACGTTTTTTTAATAAATTTTCTTTTATTAAAAATTTAAGAAAAAAAAATAAGTTGTAAAATTCTTACCCGTTCCATTAATACCGGAGGGTCGTATTCTTGCATCATATTTGCCTGCACCTAAAATTTGATCTAAGACTTTTTTCTCCTTTTCTCGGAAATTTATTTTGGCATTATTAGCTCTGAAATTATGATAGGTACGAACGTATAATAAGTGTTTTTTTCTTTTTCTCAATATATTTTTGTGGTATTTTTTTGGGGTGTTTGGTGATGAGTTTTTAAAATTAAATTTGAAAAGTTTAAAAAACTATAATCGAGATTGTTCAGTAAGCTGGCGGATTAATACCCTCAAACTCTGGCCTTTTAAGCACATGCTTTTCTATGGCCGTTCCATGAATGCACATTAGAGATCATAGTAAGAAGCTCCTAGGCAAATGAACATTTTCAGTAACATTCTATCTTGATCAAAAATTTTGATATAACCCAGTAAAGATTTGTGGAGAATTAGTTTTCCAATTTTATTAATTTGAGATTTGAGTTTGTTCAGAACTTACAAAAAGTTTAATTGAAAATTTGGAAGTGATACATCGATACATAATGATCGTAACTAACTAGACTATGATCATATCTCTAAACATGAAAAGATCGGCGTGTTTAACTAATACAAAAGCCGGTTAATCTATTTCTTTTTAAAACCACAATTTTCGGTTTACATGATATAATCAAAATCTCCAAATAAAATATTATATAAGATTTTGCTTATTTTTCAGTTACTAAGCAAGATCTTGCCAGATCAGAAGTGTTTAAAAACCTTGAATTTATCGATATAATGATATTTCTGTTATAAAACTTGAGCATGAGGGTATTTTAGGGTATTTATTAGTAGTTGTTGGATAAAAAAAAAACGAAATTTTGAAAAATGTTCGAAAACTTAAAAATTTCAAAATGAACAAATGCTGCCAATTATGTGTGAGTGGTAGGTAGGTGGGTGTTTTTAATTGTTGTATTTTTTTTTTTGGAAATATTATACTGCCGCACTTATCATAAAGAAATTAAGCATATCTCGCATTGTAAATGAGTTAGTAAGAAATCAAGTGAAATTAGTTAAGTTGATATTGTGTACGAAAGTAATTAGTGTCTGTGTAGAAGAGATGTTTGAGTGGCAATTAAGCATTTAATTCTTAATTAAATGATGAATATTGTAAATTGATTGATTGTTGTTTTGTTTTCTGTTAGTACATTTTAGATATGCTTATTTATTGGTTTTGTAAATATGCAATAATTCCAAAATGTCCAATCCGACAAAAATTAAAAAAATTAATTAATTTGTATATGGTTGTTGTTTTTCCATAATTTTAAGTAACTTTATATAAAGCATAGTTTAGGGATAGTGTTTTAACTTTAAAGCACTGCAGGTGTTTTTTTTTTTTTGTTATATTAAAAATTATTCATATTATTAATTTAAATATTCTTTAAAATAAATTATAAACAATTTTCGTATAATTTTTTTAACACATGTAGCTACATTAATAAAACTATAGTGTACTTACAGTGATGCACTACATAAACTGGCAAAATAGAATATCGCCCAAAAATAATGACCGGTTCCCATTTTTTAGCTGCAACTGTTGCTGTGGTGCTGGTGATGTTTGGCGTTCAGATGAGAAAGCTTGAGTGTGTGGTTGTTTAGTTGTTTTCTTTGGTTTGAACAGCGTTTACTGAAAGTTTAAAATAAATAAATTAAATTATAATATAAAAGAAATGTTAAAGTAGGTTAGGGTTTCCTAAAAATTGGTATACGATAATTCTTGTATTATCTAAAGTAAATTTTACTTTATCTTTACAGAACTTTATAGTCTGAATCTTATTTTCTTTAATACTCCATATATTGAAATTTTTTTTAATTCCTAAAATTAATGAATACAAGAATGTAATCTGGTTTTCTTTTTAACTCAATTAAAAGTGTGAGTTCATGTCTGTGTGTACAATAGCCTGCTACTAAGTTTAATGGAAATTCTATGGATCTAGTATTAAACAAGTAGGAAAGTATAGTCGGGCATGGCCGACTATATGATACCCTACACCACTGAGTATGTTAAAAATGTGGATGATTTTTAATAATAAAGCATTTAAGTAGTTTACCTTAATTCCGAAATATTTTAACAATTTGTTAAAAAAAGTTATTTTCTAAAAGAGGGGTTATATGGGACAAGGGTAAATACACTATCGGACAAAATAAAGTGCAAAAGTGCTCATGCTACATTATTTTATCGAAAAATCTGTTAAATGATTATTGAATATGGAACTTTTTTTTAAATTCATTTAGTTTATATACAATGCTACAAAAATAACTATAAAACAAATTTATTCCACCTAAAATTTTTCTGTATAACATTTAAAATTAAAGTAAATTCACTTTTTTGTCGGACAAAATAAAGTGTAAATTTTATATATCATTATTTTAATTTTATGTATATCAAAATTTTTTATCTATTTTGGTTCTGATTTGAATATCTGGATCTACTCAAGTCATTTTTGTAATTATTTTACCATTATTATTCGCAATCGCTTTCACTTTCCCTTGCTTTCTCCCATACTATTATTTTCAAAAGAAATCCGTTTTTGTTCGCTATTTCAGCGGAATTTTGTGATCAATTGTGGTCAAATATTAATCTATTAGATTTAGGGCGATGCTCTGAGCAGGTCATTCAAATTTTTCAGTGTTTTTTTTACAATAATGTTTTTAACCTTAGTCGTGTGTTTGAAGTCATGAATCGGTTGAGGCATTAAGTCTCCCAAACCCATTTTTACGGCATTTATTTCCAAATTTTTATTAAATAAGCTCGTGAATTGCTCATTTGTTATTAGTTACTTCATTTTCACTAAGATTCTCGCTCTTAAAGTTGAATAATGTAACAATACCGATAGCCCTCCACCATAATATTTGAAACCTGGGGTATTGTTTTTTAAATTTTCACACTCATTGTCGACATTTCAAAATTTTCGGTAGAAATTGGGACTCATCTGACCAACTACGTAAATTTGATCTAAAAAATATGAAATTAAATACTAAAATCGAAAAAAAATTTTAAGCTTTTAAATATGTTGGTGAAAGATTGAAGGTATGGGTCAGTTGACTCTTCGTAAGTGTCCAATTTTTAACGTTAGGTGTGAGGAACCTAGGTGAAATTTATTTAAAAAGCTCCAATGAACACTATATGAGCATATTGCAGTGAAATCTTAAGATCAGTGCCTTCGAAATGGACTTGGGCAACTTTATATTTCGGCAAGATAATAAGCTTAAGCACTTGATAAAGTTAAAAAAATAACATTACTGTAGGAAAAATCACTGAAAATTGAAATAAGTTGCTCAGAGCACCGCCCTAAATCCAATAGATTAATTTTGGACCACAATTTATCAAAAAATTCCGATGAAATAGTGATCAAAAACGTATTTCTTTTGAAAATTATCATATGGGGATAGCAAGGGAAAGGGAAAGCGATTGCGAATAATAATGGAGAACAAAATTACCAAAATGGCTTAAATAGATACAGATATTAAAATCAGAACCAAAATAGATAAAAAATTTTGATATACAAGAAATTTAAATAATGATATATAAAATTTACACTTTATTTTGTCCGACAAAAAAGTGAATTTATTTTAATTTTAGATGTTATGCAGAAAAATTTTAAGTAGAATAATTTAGTTTTATTGTTATTTTTGTAGCATTGTATATAAACTAAATGATTTTGAAAAAAAATTCCATATTCAATAATCATTTAACCGATTTTTCGCTGAAAGAATATACATGAGTACTTTTGCACTTTATTTTGTCCGATAGTGTATAAGCCTATCCTTATAAATTTTGGTACATGGCTTTACGTATACATAAGAATTATGTATGCTGGATTTCGTGGTAATACTAGTGTTTATTAGTGAATTATTGACCTTCAAGTCATTTTCTGAAGCGGACTTTGTATGGGTGCTAGGGTCAAATAAAGGCCGATAATTACGAAAATCGGTAGTATTATTAAGACGATTTTTGTAGAGATACTACAATATTTAACATAATTATGAACTCAAAAGCCCTTTTCGGGGTGTAGGGTTGTATGGGGACTAGGTGAAATAATGGACCGATTTCAACCATATTCAATAGGCTTCGTCGTATGGTCTAAATTTCATCAAAATATCTTGAAAATTGCGACATGTACCTTGCGCACAAGGTTTACATGGACAGCCAGCCAGCTGGACAGACGAACCGACGGACATGGCTTAATCGACTCAGAAAGTGATTCTGAGTCGATCTTTATATACTTTAAGGTGAGTGTAGGACCAATATTTTTGTGCGTTACAAACATCAGCACAAACGTATAATACCATCCACATTATGTTGGTGTAGGGTATACAAATAGGAGTCCTCTTAGACATCAAAAAGCTTTTACTAATCTCGATCTTCTAAAAGTATACCAGGCAAGTCCTGGTAATAGCGTTAAGCCCAAGTTGTACGAAGTACCCCATAGGGCGGCGTGATCTTCCACACTATTTTGGCTCATTGTTGTTAATTTGATTCTTATTGAGATGGAAAATAGAGGGACAAAAGTTGTTGCTTAAGCGAACAATGTTGTGGTAGTTGTATAAGGAATATTTCCAGACAGGAATAGTCTCATCATGTGTAATACTCTGGTCAATAATTGGGCCATAAACTGTGGATTAGGGGTAAATATAGATATGTAAAATTGGAACTATTCAAGAATGCTAAATTTCTAAGAATTATACTGGACTCTAAATTATTACGGAAACTAAAGATCCAACACAGAGTTAAGAAACCAACGGTGACATACCTGTGGTAAGACCTTCTTACGTCCTCTTCTTACATTTGGATTTCTGATATGGTGGACTTCAGCTATAAATCATTTTATTGTAGTCTAACTACATAGCAATAACAACTGCCCTGAGTCCTTGAGAAACTCTGAACTATCGATCTTCATACAATGGACATCTCTGTCTGCAGTGCAGCGAGACTTAACATATTCGGATGTTGAAGGTCGAAAACTTACTGCTTAACCAATTATCTGACTATATTACCCCACACTGGGACTTTGATAGCGTTTTTAGAGTTTGAGTTACTATCAGGTATGAGTGGTGAGACAGGCGGAACTTCTTTCATTAAATTTCTAACACTACCACATCCTTCTTGGTCAGACAATGTAAAAATTATCAGTCAAGGCTGTGTCACCTGATATTGACCTTGAACATATACACAAAATTTCTACCCGAAAGTTCTTTATCTAAGTCACTCGGGGCGCGTGCTAGACCTTTTTAAGTCTACCCATTGGATAAAAAAGACCACCGTAAAATAAGGCCGTCGAGGCAGGTGTTCACGTAAAGCACATTATTATCTGACATTACCGAGGTTTGGGTCTCTACACATAGAGACTACTATTGAAAGGAAAAGGCAGATGAGCTAGCCATATCGCATTCTGCTTTGGTTATCTCGAACTCTGCTTTAGTAGGGATTCGTTGGGATTTATTAAAAGTTGTATTTTCAGGTTCTTTCTTCAAAAGGTTAAAAGTAGATGGAATAATCTGGAAAATTGTACAGTTTCCAAGCTAATATGACCTTCATTCAATGAGAAACGAACTAGTCAACTTATAACCCGAAATAGACGGAATATATCAAGATGGCTGGTAGTAATAACTGGACACTGGGTGCCAGGTAGACGACATGGGAATCAACGAATTCTGTCCAAGTTGCAAGATCAGGTATAAAGAGGAAACGGTTTTCCTGTCAAGATTTATAGATTCCTGGGTAAATACACTGTAACCAACCTTGGTAAATTATTTAATTCCATATTTATGTGTTGCAAATGGATAGAATTTTGAAATGATTTTCTAAAATAACATCCGGAAATAGCATCTACCTACATATGTTATAGCCGTAAAATTTGAGACTGTTTCTTTCACCATATAATTTGGAACTAGTCTACTGACCAAGTGAAAGAAATTATTAAGAATTAACTGAGTATGTAGTATGTATATCGGTGTGAGTGTTTCTTTTTTCGTGCCACTCAAAGAAATTACATACAATGAATTTTTAATTTGGTAAATGTATCTGAAAAGAAATATCAACATCGTCAACATCACAGAATTTTCCCCTTTTTCTATTCAGTTTTGTAACATTTTGTTGAACACGACACAAAAAGTGAAATATAAAGCTCAGTCATGTTGCTATAAACAGACTTTTTTTAAAGTGAAATTTATAGCGTTGCACTATGGGTAATATAGACAACTGGGGTAAACTAACTTTAAAAGTGAAAAAATATACTTAACTGGATTAATGCCAGTTAAAATGTATTTCCTAAATAAACAGTTCTGGAAAAATCTTAAAACGAAGCATGGAGCCGAATAAGGGCATATAAACCATTTGGGAAATTTTACAGGAGACGATAAAAACATCATAAAACTTTAAAATCGGCATTTTCCTACTTTTTTCACATATATGCATAAATATAACTCACATCTATCCCTGTGCTAAAACTCAGTACAAAATTCGAGTCACAACTTGCCAAAATTAATACTTCAAATTTTGCTAAAATGAAATAAGGGCATATATCCATATATTTTAGTTGAAAGTATATATAAATAAATGTTATTTTTATATACTTCTTAATTATTTTATTATATAAAACTTGGACAGCCTCAACATAACAGTCT